GATCTAGTTTACGAGGCACAACAAAAACATTACATTCCTACGTTACAAAGAAATCGCTTGAGAGAGACTTCATTGAATAATGCCATGACTCACGAGGTTGTGGTTTCAGGGGCTCAGTTGAATGCGACTCCAAATTGTGCACATGTCTGACGTCAAAGCATTTCTCTTGCAGACTTCATGCTCTGTAATTCCGATGCGACCCGACCAGTGGTGAGCGGTGTCCTTGACATGGCGGGTTAAGCTGGGATATCGGGGGGCGGTCCCTGCCTGACGCCTTCTTCTCGGAAATGTTCAACCAAATATCTTCCCGTCATGAGACTCTGATGAAACTGCTCGATATTTCAGAACGCTTGGTATCAGTGGCGGAACTACGGCTGATTAATTCTTAAAAGGCCAGTGGTAACCATATGTACCACTTGCTTTAACAGTTAGTAAATTCATTTTTTATATTTTGGGGTCTCGTGTGATTCTCATTGTAAACAGCGATTATTTTCTTAAACGACAGAAACCAGATGATATTTGTAATGGCGAAGTGTTTCCTTTGCGGTACGGACTGAATTCTTAAATATTATTCTTTGTTGAATATTCTTTTTCTTTCGTGGACTATCAACGTCTGTTGTTACAGATAACTCTGAAGACCTTTCTGTTTCATCCAGCTTGTAAGACATTCGGCAATAGAGATGGTCCCAGTTTGCGTCGTACACATACTACACTTAGAGAAACTAAGAGATGTAAGTTATGCAAAGTTTGGTCCTTTTCATCAGAGAAAGATACCGCTTAGGACAGCAGAACAGAACAGAGGATGTTATTAAAAAGTGTATTATAATGGTAGGGCTTGGAACCGTGGACTGAAGTACAATTGACAAGATGGGTTTTGAGATATTTAAATGCAAAGAAGGGTTTTTCACCAGGAGCCTGGGTTAGTAACTGGACAGAAACTCTTCCAAAACACAAAATGAAACCATGCAGGGGGATTCGTATCTAAAAACTCTTCCCCATCCCTGTGGAAACAATAAGTCACGTGTGCGCATATCTGTATGGTAAGGCCCTCGTAAATTATGTTACACAAGTTGCATATCCATCACGGCGTTCTGCGTATTCATGTCTCACAGGCTTACGTGTGCCTGCCTACGTACTAATAGAAATAAATTCTGGTAGAATTTGCGAGATACATCAGTTACCCTTTAAAGCCGAACCAACCAAAATGCTTACTTGGGGCGGAGTCTAAACGCTAAGCGCATTATGTCGTCTCTTGCCGAAGCACGTGTGATTGGTAATTACAAATTCAACCCGTACCTGAAAGAAAACGCGACACTTATCCATTGCCAAAATCGGTTTATTAACGCTGTTTAAGGAAATTTCCCCTCCATGCATTGAGAATTATATGAAAACTCATGAATTCAAAATGAGCTTTAGCGATTGTTAAAGCAGATGGTACATATATTTACCACTGCCTCCTGGAAAACGCGGTGTTCTGTCCAGGGGTTAAAATGACTAGCACCAACCCGCACAGGTCTGTCCAAATTTCATAGCATTTATATAATGATGACCTCGGAGCACATTGTCGCAATTATGACCCTGATACTTTACGTTCTTATGAACTATATCAGAAATGCGACTGATACAGAGCTGAAACAGAATAACAGGTCTTACGAAAATACAAGAATAAAAAAGACAGGGGAAAGAATGATGCTGACAGGAAGATATACACGAATGGAAAAAGATAAACATTCACTTTATTATCCGTACAACTATTTAAAAGTCCGAGGAAAACTGTTATAAAGAATTGAGGAAATTTATCCAAATATAAATAAGACTGTATTTCACTTTTACTTATTTGTTTGTTGTAAACAAATACAAAGTCACAAAGCGCTATTAAACACTGAATGAAAGATTTCTGTACAAAGTATTAAATACACTTACGGACTATAGTTTATTTTGTAATCTCACACAAGGAGTCTAGAAAATAAAGTTGGTGTTGAAACACATTAGTACAAGTAAAGTATTCCTGCTAATCTGAGATAACCATTTGGGATTCATGTCATTTTAAACTGTGCGATATTCTTCCAGAACCAATTTCTTTTGTCTAAATTTGGAAGCAGTGCGGATCTTATGTTACACTCCGACGTGATTTTCATATGTTATAGATACAGTCCTTCATCAAAAATATGTACTGCACACACATAACGTCTCTTTGTAAAACCTTGTTGGCATGTTTTTACCATGTTGTACAGAATATTACCAATGGCTGTAACAAGTAGAATGTGTTTTTTTAAATTTAATATGAGATAGGCTAAGTCATTAGTTTCTTCCTTCGGAATATTAACAGTAAAATTTAGATATATTCTGCATCCTTATTTTAGTTATTTTTGTAACAGAAACGCACTCACATTTATTGTTACAATAGGAACGTGTCCTTACGTATTGCGTTGTTTTGTTACGCAATAAACTTTCTCAACGGGACCCCCCAGACGGCAGTTTCATCTGTGTAGATCCATGTCGCGTGTCTTGCTAATGGTGGTGATGGTGATGTTCCTGGTGATACGTAATATTTCTTATGATTGCCTCCATATTCTCCGTGTGTTCGGATTCATGATCATGATCATGTTCATGGTTATGGCCAGCTGAAAATAAAGATCTAATTAGTTCAATAACTGATTAACTCCATGGAGTAGAATACTTAATCAGAAATAATCAGGAGTTTCCTCGTCTTCTACGAAAACCAAAAGTTAATTACCGTGCCCACAAGAGCCCGCCACCGTGGGTCAGATTATTTCAATTCACGCCCTAGTTTCCTTACATCCACATCTAGGCAAGAAAAATTGTGGCCGAATTTATGGTACAGTTCCAGGATTTTCCTGGGGGGACTGAGGTAAAGCACTAAAAACCTCTATCAGGATTGCCAGTCCTCGGGCCAGGATTTGAACCCGAGACCTCCCGAATACGAATCAAGCGTGCAGACTACTTGCAATAGCTCGACGTTCGATAATAACTTTACATGTTTGTATTCTTGCACATTCATGCATATTCCGTAACTGTTCTAAGTTTTCTATTCTGATGTTGCAATCAGTTTCTGACAACGTAATTTCCAAGAATGTCCCGCATTTGGTTTATGGTTTTCCTACTTCATGACGTCATTTCAGAAACAATTCGGACCACGTCCTCCCCTTTCAAAGTCTCTTGTAATTCGAGGTTTTAGAAAGAAATGTAAACGAGGCTGTGATAGGATCTGGCGGGAGTATGAAGTCAGGCGCTCGGTTTAGTGTTGTGTCGGTGTATTTGACAGGAGGAATGTGGCTTCTTTCGCCGTGAGGATACTCGTATTTTCGCATGTAATTTACTCTACGGAGGAGTTTTGTAAGTGTTGTGCTTTCAGTACGATTTGCGAAAGGAATGCTGCAATAAATTCTGTCACTGTTTGACACAAAGTGGTCAAATTCGAAAGCTCTCGACTTTAGAAATAAAACCACTCAGGCTCGTTACTGTAGCCTTACAGACAACTTTTTATGCACAAGCTGTTTATTTGCCAGATTGAAAATTGCTGATTTCTTCCATGGGGCTTTGTTATTAATACAATAGACTAACACGGTGAATGTTGGCTTTCAGAATTACTCGTGCCTTCGAGAACAGAAACTCTGCATCCACATTCACTCTCCTTTCTATTAAAGTCGCCGACGACGCGTTCTACTCTGCGGTAAAATGCTTGATGCAAAAGGGTCGTATCGCCATTTTTGTTAATTCCTTGGTATCCATATTATTATTACGTGTCATGTGATTAATATCCAGTTTGTGTACAAATGTCATTCTCAAACGATGGTCAGGAGCACGGTTATCTGAATATTATGTTATTGGCCCATTTCACAGCAGACCCCGCGTGGGGTACGTTTTCTGAAGTCGTGAAGAGCCACCAAGGGCAAATTTATTTTTACTTATTTTTTCATAATTCCCTCTCCTATTTTTTTATACTTGCTTCAAACTGACGACTTGAAATTAATAACTTGCGAGAAACAAGTGATACATTAATAAATTGTGTGTCTTGGAACTGCGTTTAACCTACTGATGATATATCTTATGTGGCAGGATCTCAGTTCTATGCGCCTATAATTTTTCTATGCTCTGTTAAATTATATACTAACACAAACCTTTTTTCACTAAATAATAGCTACATGCCGTATGAGACGATACGGCGCTTTCAGTGAACTGTTTGACCGGCTATGGCCTGAGGTGCATGTGTTAATTTTTCTGTATGGGCAGAATCCTTTATTTACTTCGCCATATTTAATTAGTTTTGAGCACAACCAGTCTCTAACTGCGGGGAATAATGCGGCCAGAGCTTGAAGCAGGCCACTCACCTTCAATTTTTTAAACAATGATATCGTTTCTAAACAGAGAGCTAAATCAGCGTAATTTAAAAGACCGTGATGTTCAAAACCACTGAATGATTTGACAGTATATAATTTTTATACTTGCTCAGATGCGTGTAATTTTCTCTTTAACTACATACAGCAAAAGACATGAAAATACGTAAACTGAAGTGAAACTAGCATGAAAATTATTAGTCACCTAGCAAAGAGAGACTTGTGCTTAATATTTTGAGGTCATTCAGCTCTGATTTGTATACATCGGGACATTATGCCATTTTATTGGCATCACAAGGAGACACGGAGCTTTTGTGTCTGCGTGAAGCATGGGACCAAGTCAAGTAAGTGATTGTTTGTATAGAATCTGTTTCCGTGTTAACACCTTCAGGTCCTTCGTCGGATTTTGTCCGCCAACTTTCGCATTTAAAAAATGCAAGAAAGAAATTAGAAGTTTCCTTCCTGCCTTCCTTTCTGTCATGGCAGAACTGACTGTGGTTCACGTGTCAGATAAGGTCCGATATTTGAAAAATCCTGCATCAATCAGACACGTGTGTGTCCGACTGTTTTGAAATTCAAGCGAAATAAAATGAAACTGGTGGAATGGCGTGTATAAAAATATTATGGATCTGAAAATGTTAACATGAGAGTCAGGTTCTGTGACATGTAAAATTATGAAAATATCAATGGTTTAGAACCAACGAAAAAAAAATTATGCTGCATTATGAACATGTAGTTAAATGAGTTCTAACGTCGCCCTACAGCAATGATATTTTGTCTGTTTATAGACTATCACAAACAATCCTTATCGTTTTGTAGAATTTGTTGTGTTGTACCGCAAACTGGCCCCTGATCCATATAAAACGCTTGTCTTAGGAATTCTGTGAAGCGATGTTGTATGATTTCAGGGGACTCGGAGGGAGTAATAAAAACCTCCATAAAAAAAGAAATATTTACAGTTACTTGTCGGGATTGTCATGGAATATGTTTACTGTATGGCAGGTTCATGATGGATTACGATTTAATGAGGGAATGGAGCTGAAAGAACGATATGGCGCGGACTGAAAATGTTTGTGAACAATTTGTGAACAGAAGAACCTAGCAGGCGGGAAGCACAATGTACTTGAGAAAAATACACACTGAAGAGCTCCATAGTTTGTGCTGTTCACTAAATATTATTTGGGTGATCAAATCAAGATGTACGAGATGAACAAGACGTGTAGCATGCGTGTTAATGATGCGTAATAGGATATGCAGTGTTTGCTGGATTAATCTGGCTAGTGGTAGGTGCCAGAGTCGGACTGTTGTGAACACGGTAATGAATTTTTGGTTCCTATAAAAGGCAAGATAATTCTTGATTGGGTGAGCAACTAAACTTTTCTGAAAGACTCTGATTCAAGGGTATAAAAAAATAAAAATACTTTACTTAATCGTGTTTTGCTATGACTACTTAAAGATCCGTAAAAGTTGGGTTTGTGTAAAATTGCGACCACAGGTGCTACAGCGCAGCGGTGTTCGTAATAGAAAGCAGGCACGTCGGCTGATGAACGAGGTCAATAAAGGTTTGAGGCTGGATGAAACTCCAGGCCTGTCTTACGCCGGGACGCCGGCGCTGAACGTCGGAAGGAAGGTTTCAGTGAGAGGCTTCCTTTCTCAAAGAATCCGTACGCGTGCACTTCGGCATCATCACTTGAAATAGAAGCTCGTCTAAATAATATTTAATAATTCAGTCCGTACCGCGAAGAAAACACAACAGTTTACCATTTAAAAAATTAGCTGTCTAATGCTGTTTGGCGACATAATCCCTGTTTACACTGAGAATCATACAGAACACATAATTGGAAAATGCAGCAACAATGATTGTTAAAATCAGGTGGTACGTACAGTTACCATTGGGCTTTAAAGTGCTATCACACCATCTTGGCCTAGGTCACCCAAGTTTGCATTTTCCCTCGGTTTTTACACATATTTTCACGACGTGATATTAAGTGATATTAGCGACGCTTTCACCTCAGAAGTTCAAATATATTTTTGTTGGTATTATTAATAATGGGTAAAAAGGAGATACAGAGTTCGCAGTGGACTTAGGTGGCATCAAACATCACAAGTTTCACAATAATCCTTCCGTCTGCAGGATCAACTTTTATTACGAACAATAAACAGACGCGTCGATCTTAAGCCTTTAACCCACAAGATAAAGAGAATAAGTTAAAAAAGGCCAGACAATGAGTACTCGTTATGATAACTACAGTGCAAAAAAAAGTATCAGAATCTTGAGCCAGTAGCATCCGATCCACTCTCACCCACATACAGGAGGCCAATCAGTTGCAAGTAACTAAGTGACGGTTGCTAAGTGATCGATTATGATAATTACAGTATCTCTTACATAACTACCAACTGCATATAGCACAGAACTTGTTACAAACGTAATGCTGTATTCTGAGAGCAACAGTAAAATAAGGCATTTGCATGTACTCTTGTCTCCGTTGTTAATGTCATGATGGGGTCGTACTATGTCTGTTTGTCCGTCCCCAGTTGATAAATGAGCGGACACAGAGCAGCTGTGAAATAAAGGACTACTTGGAATAAAGATTATATATGTATTACTTCTTTATGAGAAAACATTCATATCGTAATCTTTTATAGTACCTAATTTTATGACGATACACCAACTGCAGATATTAAATAAAGTCGAATGAGATGGATGGATCATTTTAAATGACGGGATAAAAATTTGTGTGGCCTGCTTAAGTTTTTCCTTCTATTCGCGTTGAAGTTCTGAAGAAAATTTGTGTGGCCTGCTTAAGTTTTTCATTCCATTCGCGTTGAACATCTGAAGATAATCTACTTTCGGATATCATTGCTTCGGTCGAGACTCAAACCCAGTATCCAAACACCACTGGGATACCCCTTCTTTCTTATCACGAATTTGAAGATGACGGTTTTCTGATATATTTCATCTTTTAGTCTTGTAGAAATTTACGACGTTACAGATGTGTTTACTGTCTCCATCATCATCGCCATATTGATGGAGGTAGCAAGCACCTCTGAAACGTCGCTCAACTTGTACGAGACTACACGACACTATTCATAAGACAGTCGTCTTCATTCTCGCCGCCGTGAGAACCTGATATCTCACTGTCGTGGATTTGTTGATTACTGGAAGAAACATCATTACGGCTGTATTTCATTTCCACGTAATAAATCAAATTTTTTAACGCCAGTCCTGCCCTAGATTTCACTATAGCCCGCACTAGGAAAAGATCTTACGTCTCATTTGAAATAATTTTAAGTAGACCTGAATGGAAAAAAAAAACATGTTAATGACATGCCAGTGTCGCATGTCACTTTGTTATAGCAACCTGAAATTGGTTATTAAATAAAACACAAACCATTTCTTGGAGGCTGACAAATTTTCTACACAGTGAATTGCTGTTATGAGTTTGTAGAACCTTCATAGACCATTTCCTAGCCAGTCTAAACTGATCTTATAATCAGACCTAGTACCCTCGTCTCGAAAATACAGCGCTTGAAATTTAAACTACCGACTGTTCTTCTAAAACGTCTTATTACATTATAATTATTATGAGCTGGATTAATTTTTGTCATTTATTTTGGTTTCTGACGTAAGTAGATCGTTGGAAGGTAGAAAGTGGAAAATTGCACAAAGAGTTCTGGAGCACGGCTAGCCATGCGTGACATATCGATTTATCATTTACATGATATAAGACGTTACAGTTGCTGGAGCATACGGTAAATATAGTATTTTATATTATGAAGAACATTGTATTATAACATTGCAATTAGACTATCCGTCTGTCTTAACTCCGTGCTTTTGTGTAGTCTCGTTAGAAAAAAAGGCTTAGAAATCTGTTTTAAGTTTCCACACTTGGCCCACATTCTTCTTACTTTTTAAGAGCATAAAATGAAGGTCTCATGTGGATTTCTGTGTCTGCAAGTTTCGTTTTAAAAAAATACTGAGAGGATTTTGATGAAATTTAGTTTTGGGGGATTGACACTAAAATATTATGGAAGGGATTTTATTTCGTTCAATGAAGTTCCAGTATAACCCGACGTAAAATTTGACTTAATAAATTTAAAACTGCCTATCGATAAGCACTTTGTTGGTACAAGGCATTAAGTGCAGAAAACGTTAAGATCTACAAGTTTTGTTTGAAACTCTTTTATATGTGGCGAATAATAATGAAATTCAGGTAAACTCATTTCTCACTCGGTTTGACGACGACGTCGTAATAATCCTGTTTCTCTCACTTGTGGTTTGTAGGCAGACGTATACTGTGAAGTTATCATGTCCTTGCCTCTCAGCGTGACGCTGGAAATGGAAAGTAGGGAAATAACACGGCTTTTCCCCGGAAAAACCGTATTTTGTTGGGTTGGGGATACCCAGAATTAAGTTATCGAGCTAGCGAGATTGTTTTTACATTAACCTTACGCTGTTTGAGCCTAACTTTGCCAATCAGTCGACTTCTTGGAAGGTATGTACGTAACCGAATCAGTTATCCAACAGTTGAAATACAGGTATTGTACGCTATGAAAATTATTTCTGTTCAAAATTAAAAATCAGTCTAATAAAACTGTCAGGTTTTCAAAATGTTCGCCCTTCGATTCTTGAGGCAATAGTAACTTTTTATTTTTGAAAATCAGATGTTATTTTTTCCCCACCTTTTACGGAAACAAAAGGTTCATTACTGTGTTTACTGAACCCTATTCTGAACCTAATTCATTCACACATCATCGTACCCTGTTTCTCTTATTTTTGTCTTAATAAAATCCTACATCTCTCTGTCTCTAAAGTTGTCTTTTTCTTCACGTTTCCAAACGACAATTGTTTATGAATTTCTTATCTCCTTCATGCTCGCTACGTTTCCACTACATCTCTCTGTCTCTAAAGTTGTCTCTTTTCTTCACGTTTCCAAACGACAATTATTTATGAATTTCTTATCTCCTTTATGCTCGCTACGTTTCCCACCTGCTCATATTATATGATTTGGTGACCACAGTAATTTTTGATGAAGAATACAAATTATAAACCAAATTTCCGCAGTCTCCTTTACTTTTCACCTCTCAGGTACAAATATTTTTCTAATTAGCTCGTCCGCAAACAATATCTTCCCAGTCTTGTTTTTTAAAAAAATGTTATGGAATTCGAAAAGTAATTGTAAAAGGCAGCCATCGTTTCATATGGAATGCCACATTGGACGGAAGTTTTACGCTTGCATAATTCAGCAGATTTTGATTGCAGCGACCTATTAACAATTTGGATCGAGTCGTGTGTAAATAATTTTCACAAAGTGAAAAGAATGGACACGCTTCGGTGCAGTATTTTGCTTTGTTCGGTTCTGTAGCGGATACACAACATTCCGTACGTGTTTCGGTGCCTGTAGACAGATTTTAAACATTCACAAGAATTGTTCTAAAATTGTAATCTGACTCGGGTTGTTGTGTTTCCATGGCAGTAAATGCTGGAAAATTCAATGCAATCAACCTTTTAAATGTCACTGAACAGTCCCATGTCGAAGGTCGCCGTGTAGACTCTGGTATTCCTGCTTCGTATTCGACAGATCCTCACTTCTGCTCTCTGCCACAATGTCTATTATCCTGACGGAAATTGTTCTCATACCCTGTTTTTCAAAGACCCGTTTTAATAATATCCTATCACCTACCGAGTGGGCTTTTCCCTTGAGGCTTCCTAATTAAATTTTCTAATCGTTTAAATGCATACCACCTGTTCCGCCACAATTTCCCATTGACTTGATTATCCTAACAATATAAGGTATAACAGCACAAAGTATGGAGCTCCTCACTGTGCAAATTTTTCCAGAGTCCTGTCACTTCATCCCCCTTAGATCCAAATATTCACCTCACCACCCTGTTATTTAGCACCCTCAGTTTAATCTTGTCCCTTATGTGAGAAACCAAGTTTGATTCTGATAAGAAGCAATAACAACTGTCAATTTTTGAATTTGAAGGGTTAAACCTTCTCTTCGTATATTTCAATGGTGTAATTTGTTTCAAAAACTTACTAATGGTCTTGTACGGTGATGGTGGGTCACATACGTCTCACCAATCTCAAGAACCAATCAAATATCTCTTAAATAGAAAGGACAAATTTTAAAATGTTTAGATAAACTTCGGTTTTTAGTTGAATGTACAGGGTCTTCACGAAAGGACTTGTTGTCTTCCAATTTTAATTTTATTTCTGTTATAATGTCAAGGTCAGTGGTGAGCATATTGAACACTACACCTGCTTTACAACTAACGATCATGTAACTGACTGTGTTTTTACTTTTGTGGTATGATTGTTTATGTGAATATATAACAATCCTTTCGTGAACACCCTGTATTAACGAACAGTTTGCTGTGAAACTTACCTGCTATGAGCAATCCGAACATGATGCAAAACCCAACTACGATGGCTAACAACTGTTTGAGGCCAGACACCTTGTTGTCCCGCTCTCTCTGAAGTATCTCGAAGAAAACCACGTACAGCAGTGTTCCTGAAGCCATCCCCTGAAGAATCGCATTTAAAATACTGTGATGTCCATCTTCAGTACTTCCGCTCAGCCCTATACCAATCCCAATGCCGATAGGCGAAACAAGTGCAAATGTTGATATGTATGCCAGAGTAAGAATGAATTTTGTCCTGGAGCTCACTAGTTCGATACCCACACAGAATGCAATGACTAGTTTGTGAGCTGAAACAGCACCCAACATGTACCACACGTAGCTTGTGGTTGTCTGTAATCCCACTGCCAAGCCTTCAAAAAGTTCGTGCACAGACAATGCTAAGACAACAAGAAGACCTCGAGCTGAAGTAACGATAGGATCATCTTTGTTGTGATGTGTTGTAATCGTTTTGGGCTCCGATGTAACAATTTCAAAATCTTTATCTTTCTTTCCAGTCTCTTGTAATGTTGATATTGTCAGCGTCTTTAACGATGAAGTATCCTCAGATCCTCCTCTACTGTCTTCTAAATCATTTTTAACTCCTTCTTTATTTCCAGAACATTTTCTGATACTGAAAGTCCTGTGGATAACGTCGTCTACTTTTGAAATTCCTTTAGAGTCTTCGCGCCAGTGTAAGTAAAGATGAACTAACTCTTCTACTAGGTACATCGTGAAAAAGCCACAACACATTATTAGTTCTGCGAGGTGAAAACTCGTTACTGCAATTTGTCCTTCTTCCTGAAGTTCCGTCAGGACTTCACTCAGCTCCGGTAACATGTGGAGAAAAGTTGTGCATAACAAAGCACCTCCCCCAAAACAAAGCAAGAGCGATAAGACTGGTTTAGACCGACTGTCATTCGTTACCCTGTTCCATCTGAACCATACGGCCAATTTCGTTGGAAGCAGACCTAACATGAATGTTGCCACGCTTAAGACAATCATGGCAACGATTTTTGCTACCACTATACCTTCATCATCTCCGAGTTCATCTTCATGGTGGTGTGGTATATCACCATCCGAAATATTATATCCCATTGCGGCCTTGTTGGAAGATTACAATTAATAATATCAAATTAAAATTAGAACTGATAACTTGGTAGGCTGTCAAAAAACTGTACTGTTTTCAGCGCTAGGTGGAGTGTAACAGAGAACAGCCTTATGTCAGCAGTATTTTTCTTGTTGAAATATAAAGCTTGCTAAGTGACATGACACAAGGTTTTCGATTAACATAGTTTGAGCATGCGCAGTGACAGTCATTTTTCTCTTTTATCGTTTAACATCGGAGTGATTGGTTACCTGATTCTTATCAAACGACGTCTCTAACCACCTGGGGAGATGAAATGGTTCCGAAGATATCTTGTGGACTTATCTAATGTAACACTTGAATACAGTGTGTAAGTCAATCATCAGATGACAAAAACACCATTGTAGTCACCTCGAATTTAGAAATCTGATTTTGTAAAGATGTGAAACGCGAGTTTCAGAAGTCCCACACGAAATTTGCAATACGATCTGTTCAGTAGATATAATTAAATTATATTCTCTCAAGATATATGAACAGTTGTTGGTGTATGAATATTTTATAAATAATAAAACATATATATATATATTTTTAAAATATTCAAAATTATCTTATTTGTATTTGTTTACAACATGATTCATATGTCACCGGTTTGAAATTTGTCAATTCATGATTTGAGTGGAATAAAACACTATTATTTTTCCACATAAAATTCGTAGACACTAATCACCAAATTCAAAAGTCTTTCCCTTCAACAATTTAAGTAAAACGAACAGATTACGCACTTCGTATAACTTATATACGTCCAATATCGATTCACTAACTTCAAATGTTTCTTCAAAGTAACACACTTCCTATCAACTTTGTATGTTTCTGTGAACATTTCCTTGAAACATCGTAGTACAGTATTGTAATTTACAAGGAAATCATTATCGTTTGGCTGCTGATGCATGAACCACTATCTCACCAAGAGTGCAGACATAAGGATAACCTATTATTAGCTTGCCGTCGTTATAAATATTCACGGCTTTGTTTCATAATTTACGCAATAACGCAACAGAGGATGTGGGCTTCAAGTAATTTCCCTCCTTCTGTCTCATATTTTCTGTTGGATTTCCTTCAGGTGAAGGTGCAATCCTGGTGGTGTTACAGAATGAATTTAACCAATGGGGAACAAGAACTCTGTGACGGGAATGATCATTGTCAAGCCAGGCAACGGTTAGATAGATCAGTACGGGGAAGCACCGGTCTTTCATAGGCTACACAATTATACATACGTGCAAGAAGGATATATTCCAGAGTCAAGGTTTATGAGTGCGTCAGCATTGAGGCAGTAGTCACGTATTGGGGAATAAAATATCAGAATACGTGATTCAATGATGAAAATATCCTCTTACGCCGCCATATTTAGAACGGGGGCGTTTACTGATTTATGGAGCGTTGCGTCCGGTGGTTAGCACATGACTCGTAATAGGGAGAAACCGAGCTTTGAGATCGACTATCTTTGGTGATTTTTCGAGTTATTAAACAGTCCCTCGAAGCAGGTGACTTAAAATACTGTTAATTTATTCAAAAATACGAAGGGATAGAAATACTTCGAAATGGTGGTATTTGCCTACAAGTTCAGACGCGTTACAACTCAAAAGAACAACATCGACTTGTCCCGTGGACTGAAACGCGTGTTCATAACTGTAACTGATGGGTGTAGCTCCAAACTGACATTTGTAATTGTTTGTTTTTAAGTCACACGGAAGGACTTTCTTTCAAGAAGCGCTGACCATTGGTCTTGCAGCTTACAAATGTTTCACCTTAGTTTATCACGAAGCACAGTCGCGTATACTTACACAGTTGACAAACTGCACTATTCAAAAACACAGCACTAAGATATGACCTTCATACCAAATAAGCCTATTACAAATTATGCTCCCGGTTGGAATTATCTTCAAGTGACCTTGAATTCAAAATGTTTTAGTTTCATGTGGCTCGTGTGCTGGAAACCAGTCGAAGAATAAGGAAAATCTGAACTCAGATTTGGGATAGACATTCCAAAAGCATTACCTGCACGAGTTTCTCTCTTTCATTTTCCTCATTTTTATTTCTCTCCTTGAGTGTTCTGTAATCTCGTGTTGTTTTTACTCTACATTTTTGCATGGCACAGTTTCATCGTACGCCTTGACTTCTTTCTTCTTGAGATGATAAAGTTGCGTCATATTGTGATAAATATATATTTGTTTAAATCTTGTCAGTCTAATCACAATAAAATTCCTATTAAATATTAAAATATTACTATAATTAACATTTAAATATTTAAAATATATTAATGATGTTCTCTATCGAAATGTTCGATTTACATTAGATCATCACTTTTTACACGACATGTTTCAGTTCTAAAAGAACCATCTTCAGGTGTATAAAATTATATAAACTTAAATATAATTTCTTAAATGCAACTTTTAGTCAGATGTTTATCAGATTTCAAATGATGTTTTCTTCCAGATTTTATTGTATTTTTAATATCGTATTCGAAGTTGTTTTGTTTTATTCCTTCTTGTTCTTATTGTTTCTGTCTGTTGCTTTCACTTTGTCTCTTTTGACTCTCTTTCTCGTCTTCTTTTCATCATTGTTAACTTTTTCTTTCTTTTTACTTTCTTATGTCTGGTTGTGTTTTTTCATTCTTACGTAATTATTTCTTTCACATCTCTGTCATTTTTATTTATGATGTACTTTAGAAGTATAAACTTCGACGTTGTTCTTCTGGATTGTAACGCTGTGTGAACATGGTAGGTACCAAAATTTTGGAGGAGCATGTTCACCCCCACCCCACAGTCATAACATGACAAAGTTTCTTCTTAACTAAATGAAAGTACACAAATTTTGTATTTTAACCTTCAAACTTTGAAACGACAGTACGAACCGTGTGTACGTAAGATAGCTTAAAAGAAAGGAATTGTTTTTCAGGCAAGTTCCAACCGTTATCGGCCACAGACAGTTAATGAACTGATTTAATTACGTAATGACAGTCTGAAAAGACTTTCGCCCATGCCGAATTTTGTGTGCATGAACAACAACTCAAGGTTTCTTGAAGAATTTGTCATGTAAGATCTCTCCCATGAGAGCAAGAAATCCAATAATACCTCCCACGCCAATCACATAGAAAGCTACTTGTAAGTGTGATAATGAAAACACGAAGTAGTCTTTGTCGTCATCATTAAAATCCGCATAATTAGGAGACATGCTGTAATGATCATAGGCCGATAATTGGTATTTCGTCTTAAGGTCATTCCACCATTTGACGATTAAGCCTGCTTGTATTATTTTATAAATTATGTCATTGAATGTGTCCACGAGGTGACTTCCCTCTGCCAGGTGCATTGCAAAACTCAGCCTGTAAATAGCTACGTCCAGACTGCACAATTCAGGATTTTTAATAATTGATGTGACGTATTCAATGTGAAAACTGTGTTCGATCACTGCGAAAGTCTGTGAACGGAGCAAATCGTAAAGACAATATTCTGTCTCCCCACACTCAGTTCTTCGCAATTTTATTTCAGAATAATAAGACTGAAGTGAGTACTTTAAATAGTCATCATTTTCCTCGATGTAATGGTAAACAAGATCAGAGCTGTAGAGTTCTTCAAGAGTTGTGATGCGTTCTTTTACGCCAGGATTAACAAGGACACTTGTGAAATACGTCTGAAACACAATACTCACTGAGAAACAGTACCAGACGAACAAACAAAAATATGACCTTAGCTTACCAGTGCGGGGCAACTCTCGGACCGCCAACCCCAGAGTAACGGCCCACAGGTTTTGAACGCTGTCACTTACCGTCGCGTAACCAGAAGACTCATTGACGGCACAATTCTGCGCGCGTTTCGCAATCAGCCACGTCATAACAACAGACAATACGAATACAAGTCCGATCATTAACCAGACTGAAACCGTAAACATTTTTGTAATTTTCTCCATTCTAGGAACTGGTTTTCCGCAAGGTACGTACCAACTCATGTAATCATCTATGTATGATATAGTAGAATCTACTAACGAATAGATTAATTCGTGCAAGGGAAACGCACCGAATGCCACGTCTGTACTTCCGTCCTCCAAATCGCTGATAAGATCCACGCGGGCTTGTAATCCAGCCGTAGTGACAGGCACAAACACAGGTGTCATGTTCAACGCCGTTGTTATGGATCTGCAGCATTCTACCTCCAGGCCAGAATAAACCGGTCTCATTTTATTGTCTTCATCTATATAATTGTCTTTCACGACAAGTGGCTGTACATCGATTGCAGATATTTTCAATGGGCAGCCATGGAAATTTTTGTGAATTTTTGCAGGAAATAGGGGAACTTCTTTCAAAAATCGTCCTTCACCTTCAAGAATCCATCTATCGATAACTATAGTATTTCGAACATCAGCACATTCAATTTCAGACTGATACGGAAACCACGTGTGTAAGTCAAATGTAGATGTTTTAATGTTCCCATCGTGTGTATCCATCATAGGTTGCAGGTTAATGGTCTGTGGAATCAAAACAATAACATTCAGTATCCTGTAAGATGTCCAAAGTATCCTCAGGATTTCTAAAGCCAGTTGGCTATCGTTTTTTGTGTGATATTCAGTCACAACTACAAGAAATTCTGCTTTGTTATTCCACCAACTACTGTCCTTCAACTTCTGTACCTGGTCGATCACAGCGTCCGTCACACTGTCCTGTTCTTCTCCGGACCACGTAAAAATTATGTAGTGGTCAATTTTCCAATAAGTTTCATATCCTGTATTCAGTGACACGTAAAGCGAGCTTGTTCCTATTAGCCACAACATTTGTTCATGCATGTTCTGAAGCGTGTGACACAACATGTGCATCTCGGTGTTCGTCCTGTATTGTGCCAGAGTTCTCCGAGATATTCCTTGTCCTGCGTTGGGAAATGAGACAAGTGTTGATTGTCCCGGCGAGAAATGTCCTTTTGCTATGGTTACCACGCATACCACCATGTGACGCTGTTTCACAGAAAGGACGCCGTCGTCTCTTAATAGACCGGCTACTTGCAGCATCCCAAGCGACGCCAGTGTCAGTATCTGGAGCATGATCATTGCTTCCCTACAAAGAAATAAGAACTGATGTCACTCGCTGAAAATTCCATGCATTTTACAATTCTGAAGAGTCAGCCTTCTAAAGTCGTGACTAAATACCAACATTTTTTTTTATTAGGAAGACAATATTTT